AGAGTTTTTGGCTGTTGTTGCTTAGCAACCAGAAGCTGTTTGTTGTGGGCTTTGATTATACTGCCCATGTTTCTTGAGCAGCTATAGCTGACTTTGACATTGTTCTTGTTAAAGAGCTTATGTAAAATGTTGCCACTCGGGAAATGCTTTTTGACCAGGTTAAGGAATGATTTTCCGATGTTGGTTTTCACTCCTTTGCTGAATAATCTGGTACAACCCACCATTCAGCAAAAGTAAAAGTAAAATATCAGCTTACCCATTACAATTATTTTAATCGACTTTGTTGTCAATCCAATACTATTAGTAACAGTAACTGTTATTGTGAACACTGTGACGGTAACATCTGGATCATTGACTGTGAAAGTTGCTGGGTTAGTGTCTGTATCTTCAATTCCAGGAGGATTTGTGGTCCATTGATAAGTACATCACTAGGATTAGCTGAGACTTCAAGTTCAATATAACTTACTGTTCTTCATGACCAACAGTGACTTCATCTGCTAAATCAAATTCAGGTATATCTGAGAACGGAAGCAGAATCATTAATGGTAATAACTTGCAAGAAATGTGAAACATGACAAAGAGGCAATCAAACACTAGTTAAATCATAAAACTGGTAATGACCAATCAATAATAAATATGGCATCCCAATCCTTTCGTTCCATCAAAACAATAGTTTTTTCCAACAATATCGCTTTACGATAATCACGGCCTTGTGAAAGCTTTAGAATTTATTATTAATTGGTAAATTGCATTTGCTAATACATTGAGAAAGCTTTGCATTAAGGATACAAACCTGAAAACCCATTTTTATGTAGAGAATATAGAAGGCTGTCATTATGCAATAATTAATTCAGGAGATCATATACAAAATATAAAAAAAAACTACAAAGATAATATTAATGGACATAAAATAAAATCATGTTGAGACACTTACACTGAACGTCCAATCGCTGGACTTGAGATGTATCACTACCAACTATGTTACTTGCTTCACATTTGTAGTTCCAGCTGTCACTCCTCACCACATTACCAATGTTATATGTTAGATTTGTTGTTGTTTCTCTGCTAATTGGAGTCTCATCTTTGTATAGAATGACTACTGGATCAGGTTTAGAATTTACGGAACATACAAACGTTATAGGTTCGCCTTCAACAACAGTATTGATACTAATGTCAAATATTAAATCGAAAGCTAAAAGACAAAAAATATTGTTTTAAAAATATTTTTTTAACCCATCAATCCATATTAATTTGTGCTGACTAAATGGAAACTGGCAATATCATATGTAATAGGTTTTTTGTATTTGTTGTTAGAGAATACAGTCAACTTTAATACAAGACAGGAATTAATAATAGAGTCGCTATGTTAAACCAATTTTTGGTTTATATAATTTCATCACATACTTCTTTATATTGTTTTTTTAATTTATCCTTTCTATTTATCTTATCTCTTTCCTATTCTGTCATTTCAAATGCCTAATATGTTGGACGTACCTCAATGAATGATATCTGTTTCTACGTGAGAGTATCAAGAATTAGAGTCGTTCTTGTATTCATCCCATTCAATTCACATGAACTTCAGTAATAACATTTGTGAATGAGTATTTTCAATTCAATTCAATTCAATTAACATTTATTCAATTAATTAATCAATACATAAATTGATAAAGAAAGTGGACATTAAAATAATTAATTAGGATAAAAATAGAAGCAAAGCCTGTCTCCCCGACAAGACAAAAAGTAAAAAACTAATAATAAATGCATATCAAGTATATATACATTTATATTATATATATATATATATATATATATGTATACATATATACACGTTTACGTGCACATGTATATGTATACATAGACATGTGTACACACACACTTACATATATACATACATACATATTCACCCAAACATACGTATACATAAACACACACACACAGCCACATTATTCAAAATAATTAGAATTTACAATTTGGATCAGTAATACGAGAATGCATGTTATATAGTATAGTATATTGAAACTATCTATTTACATGTTTCATAAGTAAATACATATAATTTCTGGTTCTAAACTAATATTAATATTAATATTATATTAATTATAACACAAATGACAAGCTGAAGTGGTACTCACATGCAACACTTATTGTGACTGTATCAGATGCTGGTGAAGGTGGATCATTAAGCACAGTAACGTCACACATATATGTGCCATCATCACTTCGCGTCGTGTTATTAATAACAAGAGTGAGTTGAGAGTCATCTCCTTCAACACTAAATCTATCAGCATAAACATTCCACAAAACCAGGTCCATTTAGATAATGTACTATTGTGACAGGTGAGCCGTTGACAACCTCTTGCCATGAAATAAATGGATCATTGTAGGATCACTTTTTTATTGTTACAAATTAATCGTGTTTCTTGGCCTTCAACAGCATGCCCATCAACAGATACAATGACAGTTACAGCAGAAGATACATTAAAGATACTGAAATAAAAATGTAACAGTATTGTTTAAGATATTATCATCATAATAGAACCTAAAAATGGCCCGGCCTATAGTCTCAGCTGAATTCTAAAAGAATTATAAAACTAGTGACAAGCAGAAGCTGTACTCACATGCAACACTTATTGTGACTGTATCAGATGCTGGTGAAGGTGGATCATTAAGCACAGTAACGTCACACATATATATGTGCCATCATCACTTCGCATCGTGTTATTAATAACAAGAGTGAGTTGAGAGTCATCTCCTTCAACACTAAATCTATCGGCATAAGCATTCCACAGAACCAGGTCCATTTAGATAATGTACTATTGTGACAGGTGAGCCGTTGACAACCTCTTGCCATGAAATAAATGGATCATTGTAAGATCACTTTTTTTATTGTTACAAATTAATCGTGTTTCTTGGCCTTCAACAGCATGCCCATCAACAGATACAATGACAGTTACAGCAGAAGATACATTAAAAATACTGAAATAAAAATGTTTAAGATATAATCATAATAAAACCTAAAAATGGCCGGGCCTAGAGTCCCAGTTGAAATACAAAGGGAGCAGCGATGGGAGTTGAACCGGGACCAGCGCACACACAATGGCAACCACCGATTTAGCCAACTGAGCTAAGCTGCTGTAACAGGCCTAATAGATGAAATCTAATAAAGTATTATGACATAACTACCTGAACAATAGGGACCAAACAATGAAAAGCCTTGATACCATACCTGATTCTAAAAACAGTTAAATTCAATTTAGTTACAGCAGAACAAATACATTGAAACATAGTACTATCACCATAATAAACCTAATTAAATGTGAGATGTAAATATAAGAAAAAAAGAGAGTGAAGAGTGTGTACACAGTACTTATTTGTCACTGTCAGCTACATCGGACAACTTTTTTATTTGGAAAAAAGTACTCCCCCACCCAAATCATGAAAATCTCCAGGTTCTATATTTTTTGAGGACTCATTTTAACGTTTATTTTCAACACATTCAGTAGCGTCGAGAAACAGGGGTGGGGTGTATATGCTAACTGTGGGCAAAATAAGAACCGAAGCCCAGCAACGACGGGGCCTAAAGCATTAAAAATAAAAATAGAAAATATAACTAAAATATTATAATATATGCATTTATGAGACAAAATTTAAAATGCATGCATGCAAGGATCGTCTATCATATTGTATAATTGCAGAAAAGGGATATAAATTCCCTGTAATTTCCCACAAGAAACCCGTCACCATGTTACTCAGGTTCAGATTTAGATATATTGTATCAATGACATGATAAAATACATGAAATTGGTTATAGGTGCATAACATTCTTAAAAATATTTAAGTACATAAAATCCTTTAAAATATTCTGTAACAAAAAGATTGCTGTAAAAGAAATCACTGTTACATCCTAAATTAAAATTACATATACTGTACATAAAAAATAACAATATGTGGGAAACATCAATTTAAAAACCAGTATGCATACGTAAACATGTGTGAAATAGTTTGGTGTCAAATATAATAAGTAAACCCTTAAGCTTAATTGGTTAGTTTCTACGAAATTTACTGAATTAAATAGATGGTTTTTCAGGTTTTTTTTTTCTCTTTATCTCCTGTGCATTTTATCAAGCCCCTATAAATAAATATATGCTTACTGCAGCGTGTAATACGTACCGTAGGCTTATTGTATTGTCCATTTTATTTATCTTTACGGTAGGCTTCCCCAGACGGGCAATTCACCATTTTAAAGATAGCTGTTTGTCAAAATAATCGGGAAAATTCTAAAATGATTAATTATTTTTTTAAGGGTGAATAGTAATTCAAAATTCATTTACTTTAGATTGAAATTTTTAAAGGACAAACTTTGGCGTATAAAGTATAAAAAATAATTTTCACTTCACATTTGATTTGTTTTTGATTTTTATGTTTTATTATCTTGCTAATATTTTGGTCCATTGGTGCTTTATAAAAATACTTAATATGGATCAAATGTACATATACAGCTTTGATGATTTATATTATATTTATTCAACAGTGTTAACGGCTAACTTCCTTCAATATCATATATAATATACGACAGTATTTCTAGCATTGTGTAATACAATGTTCCCGACGGGTATTTGGACCTGTTCAACCATGAAGCCTTCGTGGTCTAGTGGTTATGACGCTCGCCTTGTCAGCGAGAGGTAGGTTCGAATCCCGTCGGAGGCATTTTATTACAGTGTGATTTTTCATAGGACTTTATTCGTTGAAAAGCTACAGGGTAGCCTACGATGTTCCATCATGTCCTTATTAAACACTGTATATGTACCTTTAATGATTTATATTATATATATATATATATACATATGGACGTATATGGCTCTGTATATGTATGTATATAATTATGGTCAATGGTTGTGCACTTGTATAGCGCATAACATTGGTCTCTATGCGCTCTCCAAAACAACAGAAAACAAAAATAACATGAATAATGGTTGAAACAGAAAAGTGGTTAAAAAAAAGCAAACAGGAAGTGATACAATAGAAAAATAACACAAAAGTAAAATGAAATCAAAGCAGGAGAGGGGAGGAAAATTATAGACTGTCAAATAAGAATGATTTAAGACGCGCTTAAAGATAATTCTGTAAAAGTAAATATTTTGTTTATTTATTTCACAGATAGGTTATAATTTAAAGTAATATTACCTTTGGTTGGTCATCTCTTTTTGCCATTCCTATGCATGTCAGTTGCCATTGTTTTAATTTTTTTAAATTCTGTACTGTATTTTTTTTTTGGACGCACCTTCACAATTTTGAAGTGTACCACTGTTAAAAAGTGCAGTTTCTTAATATATTGCTAACTTACTAACTAGTGATGCCAATATTTCACACAAACTTTGTTTCTATGTTGTTGAGGTTATTTTCTATATTATCTAAATATAGAATTATTGAACAAAACTAAACGGGCCTACGTCTTATAAACCTCTTACTTACCCCTCTGACGATAACATAGTAGTGCAACGATTTGTCATTGTAGGCCAACGCAGGTTCTTAGCATTTAGCATTCGTGTTTGATCATGAAGAAAATACATTATTTCCTTGGTTTGATTAAGGTTGACCAGTTCTTCTGAGGGTGCAAAAGCGAATCAACAAACTTTTACCGAACCCACAGAGACACTTATTACGTGCCCCAAAACAAATATGGCGCCCCTAAATGGTTCGACATAATTTCATTGAAGTATCTTTCGATTCCTTGAAATATTTCTTTTCTAAAAATACTAGTTCTTTGCAATGAAATAATATATCGGTTTCTCAAAATATATTTCGCTTTCTTGTAATAGTATTTCATTCCCTCTAAACATTATTTTGTCGAAAATCAACCTCTTATTTCTTCGTAGGAAAAGATTTGCATATTATTATAGGAAGGGTTGGTGGTGTGTCTGGAAATCTTTGCCTGAATAAACCTAGTTTTGTAGATGTCTGACCATCATTAAAAGTTTTATAAGCATTAATTTAACTACAGTAGACCTACTGATTATCGATTAACTTTCCCCCTGTTTTACTATTTATTTATTTGAATAATATTTCAGCATTTCTCAGTGTATTCGGAAATAATGTTTTGTATCAGTGATTGCTGGATACGTTTATGACCCTGTGTTAAGAAAGCGATTAATGGTCAAATTGTTAAAGAATAAAGCTAAAAAAGTGAATGAAATGTGAGAAAGTCATCTGAAAGTAACCAGAGATGAAAGTCTCACCTGTTTGAGCTACAAAACCCAAATCAGATCGTTACTATTATGTTTTTCTCGTACGTACGAAATAGGTAGTAGATCCCTGACACCAGGAAGGAACTAAATGATACAATAAATTCAACAATCATTCATTTGTTTAAGTATAGCCACTTTTACACAAAGTTCGTCGCACCTTACCGATGAAACCAAGAGGGTCTGTGATACTATCCCATTGCCCGTTAACTTACTACCGTGTAGTTGATTTGTTTATTATTTAGGCCTATCTCGCATTTCAAGGACAGATTAACATTGATAAAAAATTATGAAAAGTAGAGTACGTAAAAGTACAAAGTGATGAAGAATCACTTGAATGCCTGGATGACGCGAGCCCCGGGATACTGGGTTAATGTTAAAAAAAAAATCAGTAATATTGTATTACTAAAATTAACGTTTAAGGCTTTTTTAACAAAACGTTAACTCTTTTTAAAAATCAAAATAGATAAAAATACAATAAAAACATAAAGGAATTCCTTAATTTTCTTTTGAGCACTAGCTCGGTCGGCAATTTGGTAGTAGGCCTATTAACAGAATTTAAGATAGTAGGCCTATTATACACACTCGAAGTATCGAAATGCACGCCATCGTGTCGGGATTCAATATTTCGACATTAATTATGTCATCATCATCCATTCCTGATGATGGCATAGTTAATGTTGAGATATTGAATCCCGACACGATGGCGTGCATTTCGATACTTCGAGTATGTATGAGGGTTCAATACAAGTAAAATGCATCGTTTACAGTTCTTTAAGTGACGGTAGAGTGAGTTCCAGAATGTCTTCATTCAGTGGTATGCTCTGGATACCTATTTCGATTTTTACATTAGAAGATTATAATAAATCAAATTTAACATTTATAAAATAGTACGGTAATATTTTTTTAACAATACCTTTTGGCTACAACCCCAGCTGGATCAGACAAATCAAGACTCTTCCGGGACACAAGTAATCAAAAACAAATACCGGTACTAAATATAAGTTTCAACAATAGATTTTTATTACTTTAGTTTTACTTTAATAAGTAGGGTCTATTTGTTACATTATTAGTGCTATTAAGGTATTTCTTCAACTTCGAAGGCGACATAGAAGCTTACTTAATATTTCACGCTTGCAATCCTTTTCTTGGCATACCACAATACCTAAATTATTTTCTGGTATAGTGTTATATAACCTGTTTATAACATTGGAGCATGTATTTCTTGTAGATTTTTAAAGTTTAGATCCTATGTTTTTTAGGGGGTAGGGTAACGCTCACTGTGATCTACTGTATTTCGCTCACTGTGATCTACTGTATTTGACTATAAATAAACGTCGAAGTTCCATATATGAGGTGCATCACATTCAAAACGACGGTTATCTTGCCACACAAAGTTTAAATAATAAACGGAAGGTGGTTGTAAAAAAGCACATTAAAGTGCTGCCTAACATTGTACCTGTGCTTTGTCGACTTCATAATATGCTTTTCTAAGCATAGTGTGTTAATACTGTATTGTTGTAATACTATAGACCAAAATGCTATCGACACTCATGGTGCCATTTACCAACTTTTTAAATATATGAATCCAGTGAGTTACGTATAAAATTGGTGAACTTAAGACCTGTCCAGACTAACAAATTCTATTTTTAAAAAACATATGCGACATGCCTAAATATGGTCTGATGACAACACATCATGACATATAGGCACAGCATGACTTTATATTGACATACAGTACTACATTTCTTCTGTCATAAAAATTGATAATCTGGACAGAGCTAAACAATTCTTTGAGCGGTTGTGGTTGTACAATCGTAATTGATTTAATTCGATGGGATTATCATGATCCTTGTACAAGCAACAAGCATTCACTCCAACCAGCTACTGATATTATGTATCACCGGATTTTTTTTCCAGGGGCCAGCCTAGGAGCCAGGGGAAGCATTGTACTAATCTTAGTAATATTCAAGTATGAACTCGTCCAGACTGATAAGAATAAGATATAAATATTTTATTTTTAATTTAGAGTTTTGTTTTATTTCTTTAAGAACAGAATAAAGATAAACACATGAAACATGTAGAATGCAAAGCAAGAATTCGAATTTTTATTTTCTTGTGTTCCACAATCTTTAAAATATACCAACGATATCTTCTTGCATTCAGAGAACTTATAATGTTAATAAAAAATATTTCTGAGATGTCTAAAAACCATCATTGAGTAAGTTGGCATTAGCCTTAAATTAATTAATAATTATCAAATAAATTTCCTCACATTTGCTGTCTATTTAAGTTGTTAATATCATCATGGAGGAATTAATTTAGATTCCTACATGGGACCATATCATATAGCATAAAAAATTAAATTAAACTTTAAACATGTCGCTGGGTGTATTTCCAAAAAGCAGAGGGCGCTCACATGTTTTAGCACTCTATGAGCTACAACTAACCAAATCGATGTTTTCCCCGGATACGAAATGGTAGGTTATCCCTGACACCAGGAAGAACCTAAAAAATAAATTCAAAACAATTCCGCACGTCATCGGTAGGCTAGTTCTCTAAACATTTTTATATGATTGAATTAACAACAGGGCTGCATTTAGCCGTTTTGAAATAACAATGGTCGCCATAGCTTACCGATGAAAGCATGTAACACGATGACTCATGATAGGCCTATATACGGTGTTGGTTACTTCTGATTTTGTCTGTTAACTTACTTCCATGTAGTCGATTTATTTATTGATTTATTTCTCATTTAAAATACAAATTAACATTGATAAAAATGTAAAAAGTTCATAAAAGTAAAAATTGAGAGGAACTAGTTGTTGAATACCTACTGAAACGCCCAGATATAGCCTTATGCTAATCTTAAGAATTATTACGAATAAGTGGTACAACAAGTTGTAATAAAAGAAATCAGACGGCGGTTTGGCGTAGCAATTTCCATTCAGGTTCTGAACCTGTCGTGGCCAGAATGATCAGAATAATATATAAATATATTTACAATGCCAAATATTTTAAGTCTGATTCATTCTGTCACACTCAATCCATTTTTTTAACTGATTACAATGGTATTTTTCCTTTTTTCCTTTTTTTTGTAACTTATATAATAATTACAGAGCTATACATTGATAACAAATAAAACAATAAAAATAGGCAATAAACGAGTCGACCATAAAATTAGCATGTGGACCAAAATAAGCTGACACTATAGGGTGCAGTCATTGGTTTGAAGTAGTCAGTTGACCCAAGGTGACGTTATAATTTTCCCACACGCGCATATATATATATACCAGTTTCACTTTTTAAAAATTTTAAAAGTACAAAACAGAGATGAACACATGAAACAGAGTAGGAATTAAAGTTTTGTGTTATGGTCCACACTCTTTATAACATGCAAATGAATCTTTGTGTTCAGAGCAATAATATAAATATTAAAATTGTTGTAGATGTCTAGTCGCCAATATTAGTCCTTGATTTATGATGTAAAAGGCACTGGTCGATCAGTGTGCCTAGTATTGATGCCCACAAATACATTAAAATAAAAAATAACAAGAAATTTATCCCTTCTTGATTGACAATTATCTTAATTTCTCCTCAAAATTAAACCTGGCCCCAAAGTTGTTCGAGAGCATGACTATTTGCTCTTCTATGCACCCCTTCAAGCTGATCAGAGTTTATTTATTTATTAATGCAATTATTTCGTACTTAAAATACAGATTAACATTGATAAAAATATAAGTTCATAAATGTAACAAGAGAGGAGGGATAATTTGAATGCCTTGATGACGGCAGCCTAGGAACAGTTGGCTAATGTTAAAAAACATGATAATCTGGACAGAGCTAAACAATTCTTGGAGAGGTTCGTGGTTGTACGATCATCATTGATTAAATTCGATGGGATTATCATGATCCTTGTACAAGCATGGAGGTATTATTGATCAATAATACCTCCATGGTACAAATAACAAGCATTCACTCAAACCAGCTACTGCTCTCTGTACTTTCTTATCTCTTTCCCGGCTTCACATTAACATAAGCTGTTTCTTCGTCTCTATGTTGTAGATCTTGGTAAGTCTGGTTCTCATTGCCAGCAACTGACCTATCTGCCACATAGTCCATGTATGTCTGTGTCGAGATATGAAACGTTATCAATGCAATTCATTCATTCGTTATTTGTTTGTAAAGATACTTGATAATAGTGTGAATTTTTAAAAAATGAATACATCGGGGAGGTTTAGAAACTCCTTTAAAATCTACACATATTTATGTGCAATTTATTATCATCTGTTTTAAAAATCGCAAAGCTTGAGACAAATATCTATTATGATTAGTCTATTATCACTCTGTATAAAACAATACATTTTACAAGTTATAATACATTTTAACAATCGGTAGAATATAACTGCGATTAGGTCGATACCGTTTCAGTGGTAGAGCAGATTTTGTCCTACAAACAGGCACGATAGCATGTTACTGATTGTGGGAAGGACGACTACATTAAACACCTACAGTCTGGGGTAGGTCATAGAAACATGACTACATATCCACCTGAATCATTTGACAATATGAAACATGAAACCATGGCGTTGTGTATGTGGCACGAAGATGATAGTTGACAAAGGTGAGGTAAATTGGAATATTAAAAACTTACATCTTGCTTTTTCATATCCGTACTTCTCTTGTCTATTTGTGCTTTCTGAATTGAAATAAAAATAATCATTAATACAAATTTACAAACATTCGTTGTAAATTTGTTTTATGTCACTTTGCAGTCATTAGGCTGAATTTACATTACACATTTGTACAAGCTTGCTTATTTTAATCTTGACCATTTTATTGAACATAAATGGGAAGGAATGTTATGTATTATTGTGTTAAAATCATACTACTGAAATTTGTTTTGGTATCTGACAAACCTGTTTAATCCTAGTGTAGCTAATCAATCCACCAATTACTCCGAAGGCTCCAACAATGATGCCCACAAAGAACATACCAATTGTCAAACCTGTACTACTAGAACAGGCTGCACCTAGAAGGAAAGATATAACGCATGTCACTTCAACCATAATGTGCGATTCGACGCAGTCGTTGAGGTACGGTACTCGCTGTGCATTTCGCCTGTGTTCGTAGACAGGCACTGTCTCTCTTCACCCAGGAGTGAAAGTGGGTGTATGGTAGAAATATGAACATTTACAAAAACAGAAAAAAAAAAAGCACAAGACCGGAACACCACTTCACTGTGAAATGGGGGCCCTTTGACAAAAACCAATGGCTTACAATATAAAAGTTTGCTTAAATATTTCTAAAATCAGTAAAACAGGCAAATTAAAAAGGCATACTAAAAACTGTTATGGAATTCTCGCTAGGGAGCTGTGTACGTATTACATGATTTTGTGCTTAATTCAATGTCGGGTTTATAAACTGAACCTCTATACAGGCCTAAGTCTAACATATTATTTTATTGTAGAGTGTTGTATGCAATTAATTACAATGATAATGACGATGATGGGAGATGACGATGATGATGATAATGATGTTCTGCAGTTGCAGTTTCATTGTTTGTTCATTTGGCTTATTTGTTTCTTCTGAAATTAAGCATAGAATAGCGATTCCGATATTTGTTATTCCACCTGCTCCTGAGGGGTTGCGCCATCGGAATAGAAGGAAGGTGCCCCATATTGAAGAGCTTCCACCACACCCCCTCACCCCCTCCATTGGCAGAACTTTTTTGAAAATGGGGGGAGGCCATTTTATAAGTTCCAGTATGCGAGCGAAGAGAGAATCTAGGCTGGGGGACAGGAGGGCTGCCATGGGCCCTTGGTTGGAGTCAGGGGGCAAAGCCCCCTGGAAGCTACGAATATTTGACGAAACTTGTTGAATTTTATTGGTTATTTTATAGGCATCGAGCTACTGTAATATAACTTCATAATTGTTGTAATTTCCAGTGACGGATCTAGAAATTCAAAATACAGGGGTCCCGGAGGAGGAACTTTTACAGATGGGGTATGTCCACCTCAGCCCCACAAAAATTTTGTGGTTACAGCACGTCTAGATGGCCGTAAATTGCACTCTCAGACTTAAAATTTGAATATAGTTTTCTTATTATATCAATTAAAAAATAACAATTTAGGACCCCAGGGCACTTTTGCAGATGGAGGATCTATACGCAAGAAACTTTGTGATTATGGCACATATAGATGGCCAGAAATTGCACTCTTAGGCTTAAAATTTAACAATTTAATTTAATTTAATTGAACAATTTAGACCCCCACCACTGAATTCGCCACTGATTTCTAAACAAAGCCGAAGTGGAGATTGCTTCTATGTTATCAATGAATCATTTATCATTAGGGGTATGCTTGATATGGGTATTCCCCACGAAACCATTACTTTTCTCTCGGTGGATGAAAGTTACCCTTTTATAATGATACTCCAACTGTCGCGGGTCCAGGAAGTCGAAATAGAGGGGACCCAGGGAGGGTCTTGCGCAGTGACCACCCACCTCAGCCCCACAACCGCGGTAGTGGCTGCGGTAGGAAAAAATGTGATTATGGCACCTTTATGACCGGAAAAATTTTGTGTTTTCTAAATTTTCTTTTTTTTTTATAAATAAAATAGGAGGTTGGGGATTCGTGCTGACTGGGCTTCTCCTTGAATCCATCACTGTTCAATATAACACTTGACAGAGCCTATAATTTTGTTTCACAAATGACTAATTCCTAATGTTAAGTGAAAGTTTTTTTTTTATTCAATACAATTTTTACAACCTATAACACATTAACTACAGTGTACCATAAATTCTGTAGTTAACCTTCAGAGAACTTTAATAAATGGCCTAACTAAATATCTTATTGTTTTCGTTAAATTAGATGGATTTTAAATGTGGTTCTATTGTGCTAGTTTGAAGGTAAGCCAATCAGTTACACTTACATCTTCATGGTTAACATCAAGAAAACTAGAGCGTTCCCTCCATAAAGAGTTCCTACCTCTTACTTAGTCGTGCAAGGCGGGCAATTCCATTTATTTTTCTTTAGGCTCGAGGGTAAGTTTCAAGAAAACTTTACAGACACAAGCACATACAGACATCAATCAACGTCTGGTTGCTCAACTTGAAAAGGGAATGTTCGTTTGGAAATTTAAAAAAAAATCTATATCGTATAATAATAGGTCGATTTGTAAGGTGCAAATAATAATAATAATAATAATAATAACATTGCGGTGCTGGGAACAGCCACAAAAGTGGGAGGGGAAGGACCCCTACCCCCGTTCGGGGAGAAATAAAACGTATATATATATTTTCTACATATTAGTAAGCAAGTCCCTAAAATCGATTAAAAAAGCCTTTGAAACCCCTAACTTGTCATATATTTTGGGTTCGCAACCTGGGACACTTTTGAGAGATTTTGAGCGACACCTGACCACGTCCACTTTTTTCGCCAGGGACATAGGCCCTCTGTCGGGGCCGTCGGACCCTCCACCTCGTGCAAATTTATGCCATCATAAAATAAATCTTAAGAAACATTTCGGTTAGGAACTTGTTCCTTTTATGTCTTACTCATTCTCTGTCTTATTTGTCTAATGTTTTCTTGTCAATGTTAAACATGTGATTGGGGGGTATGAGATCGATGCTCATTACACTGTTTGTGCCCTTGGGTAAGACACTTCATCTGCCTCTCAGCTTGTAGGATGTGGATAATTCGGAATAAATAGTAGTAATCATTAACACGCATAACTAGCAATACTCCCAGGGGCAGCGCTAGCGGGTGATCCAGAGGTAGAAAAGCCTCCCATCAGGGACACTCCGGGTCACCCCTGGACTCCCCTGTCGGAGAATTTTCAGCAAGATCGTGATTCAAGCATGACATACTATGCTATCAAGGCAGGTAAAGATGGGATTCTTAACTCACATGGTTAAATTATCCTTTTTAAATAAATAATCTTATAATCAACACAACATATTTTGATAAACAAACAATTTAATTTTTTTCTCAAAACGAGGGGGGGTGTGGACCCCTTTTTGTCGGGAGCTTGGACCCATTGTCAGATAATTCCTGGCACCCCCCACCCCCTGAATACTCAACATTGAGCAAAGGAGGTTGCACGTTGTGTATGATCGAGTCTGCATCCAAAGACAAGGAAAACAGTGCCTCTGGCTGTTGGATGTGTGGCATGAACTTTAGATTCATGTTATGGAATTAGTATTTATATTCACATATATTTATTTATACAGCGCCTTTCTTTGCAAATACGAAGCGCTCCTGTCCCTGGTCATTGTATCCACATGCTTAAGTGTTGCTGCTGCACTCAGCACAGGAGCAAGCAACCCAACCAGGTACCCATTTATACTCCTGGGTGGAGAGAAGCAATGCAGATAAAGTGCCTTGCTCAAGGACACAAGCACAACGCACAGCAAGAGATTGAAACCCCGAATTCAAGGTTGGGGATCCAAACATGATTAGGCCTACAGTAGCTTTTATTCAATATGATGAAAAACAGTAACTAAATTTTGTGTCATTTACGGTACTCACCAGAATAATCATTTTCACAATATCTCCCACTGTAGCCTGGTTTACATTCACATGTAAAGTCAGAATAAGAAGGTATACAATTCCCTTCATTTTCACATGGACTGGAAATGCAATAGTCAACACCTAAAAAATAAATGTATAGTGTATTAAATATCTCATTTGATTATTACAGTAAGTTTTTCTATGGATTATGCACTGTTCCCGAATATTTAACTAATTTTTACAAATTAATTGATACTTACCATATAAATACAAAAGTAAATTGAAAAACACTTTAGTCTTGCCACAATGGCAAAATGACTTTGGAAAAACTTTTAAATATCGTTCTGTTAAATTATGGAATAATAATAGTATATATATACTGTTTATATATATTTTTTATGAATGTTTCTTTTAATTTTATTTTGTTATATAATGTAGTTTAAGATAATAACCTGGACCTCAGGGAAGAACAGTGTAACAATACTGACTGAGTATCAAGAATAAAGAAAGATTTCAATTCTATTCTACTTTGTTATTCCCTGTTTTGTATTTGTTTAGTATTTTAATGTATTTTTATGAAATCTCTTTTTATACCGAAGGTCCACTGATTTTTCTCAGACTTTTCTAAGAAAGTATAATACATAATCCAAGTATTGAAATGCACGCCATTGTGTTGGGATTCAATATTTCAACATTAATTATGTCATCATCAGGAATGAAAAAATTATTCATATTAGCAAGCTTATATGCACTAGTACCAAAAGTGTTTAACCAATCAAAACATTACCTCTAGTAGGTGACATAGCAGTGATTTAAACAAAAGATCAAAGCAATCTTACTCTACTGATCAAAGCTAGCTACAAAAACAAAGAAAGCTCCTTTGAAGCTCTGAGACCATTGTTAAGCAAGAGGTGTAGTCTATGTATAACAAACGCTTCTTTAAACAATAGTATAGACCAGTTTCGGGAGCTGTCAATAATGTTAGTACTAGAAAATATTAAACCTAATTTATTACTTACATAGACAACATTATCATTTTCAAGTATACCCTGTAAGCCTAAAACATATTAGAATGCCTCACAGTTTTTAACATGATCAAATATAACATTATCAGATCATGAAGCATTTTCTTTAAGTCTAGTTATTAAACACCTATCTGTCTTACTAATATAATAATAATAATACACATTTTTAAAGCGCCTATTAAAGCAAACAAAACTGGCTTGTCACTGGCGCTGGAGGATGTTAGAAAGAAGTTGAACTATTTGAAGAGGAATGATTTAAGAGTAGATTTGAATAATTGCGGATCAGAAATGATACGTAATTGAGGAGGCAGAGAGGTTCCAGAGTTTAGGAGCAGAGAAAGAAAAAGAGCGTTCACCAGTATGAATATGCTTGAACAAGTTTGAGGGATTGAGAAGAACGAGTAAAACGGGAAGAAACCTGTTTGTCAATAAGCGAACAGAGATAAAGTGGGGCACGACCATGGATAGATTTTTGGGTGAGAAGAATAATTTTGAAAATGATTCGCTTATCAACTGGAAGCCAGTGAAGAATGTTTAAAATTGGCGTAATGTGGGTGAACCTTTTAGACAATGTTACAACACGAGCAGCAGAGTTCTGAAGTTTCTGAAGGTGTCTAATGCCTGTCTCTTATACACATCTTCAATAGCAGGTAAACCATTGAGCAATGCATTGCAAAAGTCAAGTTTGGATGAAATAAAAGCATGAACAAGAGAAGCAGCAGCAGAAGATGAAATGTAAGGTCTAATGGAATGGATACAGCGAAGATAAAAGTAACCCGATCGGCATACAGATGATATATGGTTGCTGAAGTCAAGATGTTTGTCAAATATGACCCCTAAGTTCCGAACCGAAGTAGAAGGAAATATGTTAATACCATTACAATTTATGTTAATTTCAGGAACAGTGCGAGTACGATATTTGGAAGAAATAACAAGAAGTTCAGTTTTACTAGGGTTTAATTTAAGTTTCATCATTGAAGACCAATTTGTAATAGATGAGAAACATGATTCAAATATGGAAATAGTAGAAGCAATGTCAGCGGGATTGTCAAGATCGACTTCTTTCCAGAGCTGGATATCATCGGCAAAGAAATGATAATTGAGACCTAAAGAATTTAACAACTTAGAAAGACTGGATGTATAACAAATAAAAAGAAGAGGGCCAAGAACGCTACCTTGAGGGACACCATGTTTAACATAACATAAAATATAATCACTATTGCAGCCTGGACATTTAAAATGATGGACAACAGAACTTCTGTACTCCTTTGGGGTTTGATCTTTAGCAGATATAAAATGAGAAATATTGTTATACTGCCATAAAGTTATAAATTTTACCTCTTTAATTAAATGTTTCTTTACCTTATTTAAACATCTAGATCTAATCCAAATCTTAATCAAGCTATCATCAGCAGGCCTATGTATAAATTTAGATTCATTTAATTTCTTAAGTACATTATAAACAACTTTTAAAGGGTACCCATTCCAAGACAAACTTTCTAATGTTACTAAGTTCTGCTTGAAGTTTATCAGTAGTACACAATCTGGGCTCTAGAAACTAAACCACAAATCCAGGAGATCTTATGGTTCCATGGAGCAAAGCTATCATAAAGGACATATTGACCTGTATGTGTATTTTTACGATATGTACTCATGCTTTCTACACTGTTGTTAAATTGTAAATCCAGAAAATGTCACTGTTTTCAAATTATTCAAAAGTAAAATTTATCTGTCTATGAAAAGCATTAAAGTAGCTTAGAATTTTCGGGAAATCATTGGGCTTAGCTAGTACTAGTTTGTCGTCAACAAAAATGAGTATAAAACTGAATAGTACCTGATTCAATAAGTTTAGGAACAATAGACTTTTCTAGTTCAGTCATTAAAATATTAGCTAAAACTGGGCCAAGAGGTGAACCCATTGAGACACCACCAGCTTGCTTATAAAATTCATTATTATATGTAAATACAGTTTTAGTACAGCAATCTCCAAGTAGTTTCCTTTAGCAAATTTTTCTTAAGGCTAGTAGATATCAGTTTCTTATTGTAAACCCTATCAAGAATTATATTAATTACATTAGTAAAGGTAACCATTTCAGCTATTTTTAAATGTCCCTCATTTGTTATTAAATTATAGAATTGATAAGAAAGTATAATACATACTCCAAGTATTGAAATACACGCCATCGTGTTGGGATTCAATATTTCGACATTAATTATGTCATCATCAGGAATCCATCGTGTTGGGATTCAATATTTCGACATTAATTATGTCATCATCAGGAATCATTCCTGATGATGACATAATTAATGTCGAAATATTGAATCCCAACACGATGGTGTGTATTTCAATACTTGGAGTATGTATTATACTTTCTTTTCTGAGATTAATCAGTGGACCTTTCGGTTTTATAGAATTGACATACCACTTTTAAAATACCCTTAACTTTACAGGCCTACTTTTATAAAATTTATAGATGGTATGACGCTGTTTAGATTTTTTAAAACAATTTTGCTAATCTTTTTTCCTACTGATTTGTATTATTTTAGTACAGTATTTGATGTATTAATCTGTGTTTTAGGATAAATTATCACAAACCAGGACTATGTGTAAAACAGGTTTTTGCACCCTTTTTACTCTATAAATATGTTCAATAAATATATAAATAAATAATAGTCCAAAAAAAAAAAAAATAACTGAAAAGAAATAGTCGTGACAACGATCGTAAATTCAAGGCTTTGAACTGCGAGTAAATATAACAAAATTTTTGTATATACTGCTTATAGGCTAGGCGCCAGGGGTCAGGCCTATAAGTTAGGCCTAGGTGCACAAAAAATACTAGGTTAGGTAGGGCGGGGCGGGGAGATGTGGTGCAGTTGGAAAATTTTAAAACACAGAATAGTTTCTATTGTTCTTTCTAGTTTATTTGATAAATAAGCTCTACAAATGGCAGATCCTGTTTGTTGGAGGGGAGAAGGTGGGGTATGGCGGTGATAAGTATGGAAAGACTATACAGCAGTCAAATAAATCAATACCCACGAGCCATGAAACATTTAGCTAAGAGACATAAATCCGGTGAACGTCAGCCTGGAAAAACATGCCCTGTTCTGTAGTGGTAGGGGACACCACTACTATTGGCTAAATGACCTTAATGGGGGTGTAATGCTTTACAACCCCACTCCCACA